ACTTGTTTGTAATAATATATGTATTTAACATAAAAGAAAACACGATCTAAAAAATAATTTTTTAATTTAAAATTTACCTAGTAGTGGCAAATTTAAATTTAAAATACTGTGGTTTAGTACAAAAATATTACCAATGGCACATTTGGACAAATTTGAGATTATTTGTTCGATTTCATTAACATTGAATTATGTTACTAGCGTAACGATTTAAAGATTACTGACTCATCATTTATGTCGCGCTCGCCGATTTAGCTTAGGTTAACAGAACACAGGAACGTAGAGTACGAGCATATATGTATATTATAAAATATAGCCAGGCAGTCGAGTCTAAACCACGGTCGTGTCCAAACACACATTGAAGCCTACCTTGTAAAAATCATTTAATAATTGTTCAGCTCGTGCTCCGCTATTCCTGTGATCTTCAATATACTACCCTCAAGAACAGGGTTACTCAGATGATAGTGTACTATATACTATAATATACTATAGATATTTCAGTTATTTAATAAATCTTGATTTGCGTTACTATATCGTGTTCCATTGTGTTAGTCTATGAACGCAGGTCATAAGTTCCTAGGACCTATAAAATATAACTTAGGAAATTTTATTTGTATCGATCCAACAACCAGGTTATCAAGACCGGTTCGTGTAGTAGGAATAGCTAACAAACTACTCCTTAACTGGATAGGATTTGGTATAAATATCGAAAACTGCTTAGTTTTGATAGACGAAGGAGGTGTGTTGCAATTGTATTAAAATTACTAATGTCTCTTTAATCAATAATGCTAATTGATATAAATGACTACAATTTTATATTAAATTGAATATTATCTGGTTTTAATATGAAAAAGTGTTTATTTTATATTTAAATATTTTGCGAATGTTAGAGATGGTATTAATAATAAGTATTGTCCAACAAAAAAACAAATGTAAAAATAGATTAATAAATTCACAAATTAAAAAAAATTAAAATGCTTCATTAAATCAGAATGGAAAACATATTTAATCATCAAGATTCCAGAACTTTAATAACATAAAACATATAATTGTTAAAGTGTTTTTTTTTTTTTTTTTAATTGGCCTACCTATTTTAAAATTAAATTTTCCACCAATACTTTTTTTCTACATCAACCCTTCTTGAACCAAACTGCATTCCTACACAATTATATATTTATATAAAATGTACAATCATATTATAGAATTATGTTCCATAATATATACCACGGATAAAAAGTTGAGCTGTTTTAATAAAATCCATAATTTAGTTAGAAGATTTTTTCATTAAAACACATACATAATAATATTATAGTATATGATAGGAATATGATAAATATCTAAAGAATTTTGTGTTATCTATACATTTTTATGTGCACACAGGTGATGTAAAACAAAAAACAAAGAGGAATCAAGTTGGAAATTCAATTGGAAATCATCAAGGGAACAAAGTTGGAAACGATTACAAAAAGGAAAGTTTCGATCTGGATAATTTAAAGTAATTATATATAAATTTATACAAATAATTCATAAACTTTATAAATAATAGAATATATACTTCTATTTTGAAAATATATTATTTTTGGTATGAAATTTTACATTCATATTAACACAATTGAAACAATATAATTTATTTTAATACATTTTTTTAATCATATCGACAAAACAAAAAAATCAGTGATCTATTCTTCTGTAAGTTGCTTCCGAGTATTATACATCATTGAATAGGTTGATGATTTACTTTGGATGATTTTAAATGGATGTGTTCTTTTATAACCACAATTTTTACTGATTAGATTAAATTTTCTATCAGAATCCATTCTCAAAAGTTGAAAATTTAAGCATTTTTACTGTTCAAAAAGAGGATAATTGACATAAACGAGATACACATAGATATTATTGTAAAACCGTTGGCTATTATTTTTGTTTTGCTTTTATAGTCACACTTTTTATACTAAGTTTTATACTCAGAATCTAAAGTAGGAAATACACATAAGTTTTATTTTCCAAACTGTTTTAAACATTAAAATACATACCTAAAAAAAAATTAATATTTGTTGTTTATGACATTTTCATTGTTTTTAATATATATTTTTTTTTACATTTCAGATGCTAGCATATAATTAACTCGGCTGTTAGAACTGCTTCAGCCGGCTACACACCACGCTGTTTAGGAAAGCAGCTCACTATCACTCTTTTTTTCTTATGAAAATAATGAATATATAAAAGAGAACCGAAACAAAGCACTGAGAATTTAAATTACTACATTTTCCCTGTAATAAATGCCATCAATGAATTACATGTGCACTGTTATTGGGTGAAGATAACAATGTTTTACTCCATAACTACTAGGGATCGAATTATTACATTTTTTCGTGTAAATTTCAGTGGCTATTTTTTTCTTTTCGTCCAACATGAATAATTTATATGCCTGTAATCGTTTACTTTATTGAAAACACAATCAAAATAAATGATTCAGTACTTCAACCTTTTCGATCCCTACCGTGAAAGATGTGATTTACTACGCATGTTTGAATATTTCCGTTGCACATGCACTTACAAAAGCCTGTGGTGTTGTTTTAGGTAAGTCTGTGAAAAATGACACTGAAGAGCTTAAGTTATACTCGCTAAAGTATATTCACACTTAACTTATTGTATACATTATACTGAACGTCATTTTGGTAACCTAAACGATAAAAAAAAACTTATTTAGTATTAAAGCTCGACACGCTTTTCAATATTGTAACACTATACAGTTTTACAGGTAAAATAGTTTTGACTAATAAACTGTAAAATATAATACGATAAAAAATAATTATCAAAACACATAAAAACAGTTCAGCAGACTAGGCTTTATTTGACAGTACTTTAACAAGAAATATAATTACCCACATAAATATATATATAATAATAAATACGCAGTTTAAAATAAAATGATCTGTGATATTTCTATATACGTCGTATCTGTGATTGATTTTTTTATTTTATTTTCGCCCGTTTTTGTTTTGTTTTGTTTGTATTTTGTTTTTTGTCTACGAACGAACACTTTTTCAAGAGAAAGTAAAATAATGTACATAACAAACGAATTTATTTGTAAAAATGTTTATTAATAATAATAATAAAAATAATTAAACTTATATTAATGATTTAAAATAAAATAATCTACTTTGTAGACACTATTCATTTTCATTTTGGCTTGACCTTATATTGCTTTTATTCAGTCCTATATATATAAATTTATTTATTTATTTATTTATATATAGTAAATATGTATACAAACGTGTTTAAAATATGGGATTTAACATTGAACAAGCGATAACACCAAAAAGAAAAAAGAAATAACGTCAAGCGCTTTAGATAAATTTAATTTATTAATTATGAATGAATTTTAACATAGTTTTTAGTAAAATTTGTTATAATCTGTTAAGTTTTTAAATCAAGATTAAATGTGTTAGGTAGATTAGAGTTACCAAAATGACGTCGCTTTCGCTTTAAAAGCATTCAATAACTATCAGTTTTTGKAAAGAAAATAATATATAAAAAAAATGAAGCGTAACTACTTAATATGACTTTTTTTCTTAAAGAACAAAAAATAAAAACGCTTAACTCAATCACTCGAAAAAACGCACAAATTTTGTAACGATGCATTTTTATTGGAAAACAACCAATTAAACTCGTCCTAAACGCACTGTTATTTTTAGATTCAAAATTTGTACTACTGAAAAAAAATATTGAAAAATCGTTTTGTTACACTTTTAAATATTGTTGAAAGTTTTAAGATTTAGAAAATATTGTAAAAAATTGTTAATTGATGGATGATAAGTATTGTGTAAACACCCTCTTACCTATAATTTTTGCTTAAAGGGTTAACAAAATTATTGTTTTTATGCATACTTTTTAAGAGACGTTATTATTATTGTTTCGGGGTAAATTTATACTAAACAAATTAATAACCAAATTAATTTAATTATATTGTTATCTGCTGTATCTGAGACAAGGACAACGCTGAATAATGTAAACAAAATATGTATGCGACGTTTTTCGCACCGGCATGTCCTTCCCTCTTTGGCGGTACGAAAATTGTCGGATAATATTGCCTACGGATATTTTTTAATAATGTACATTTCATATTTTGCAATAATTTGTTTGTCTCTTTAATAAAAAAAATTGAGAAAAAAATATTGTGTTTTTTTAAACCCACTATTTGGACCATACGATAATATTTATATAATATATTACGATTATTTATATTTATAATTTAATACCTACCTATCTATTTACTACCAATTTTTCGTATACTTAGAGGATCTACTAAATATGACCAAAACTTAAAAACCTTTCAAGATTATCTTCAGTATAACATTTATTGTTAGTATGATTAAACGATGATTAATAATAGAATTACTATTATTATTATTACATTGTTTTTCGTTACACACGACCATCATTAGTTTAATGATTATAATAATAATACATTTTTCTTTTCAACTCTGTTGTATCAAATCCTTGATATTCTACTTTTTTTTTTTATTATTGATCATTTACAACTTCGGCAACAAAGGACATTAGTTATTTTATTTTTTACATTACGTTTGCTTACATGTTTCTACTTTTGTTAACCATCATAATAGGTATATGAACTGCGATCATTTTTTTATTACAACAACAGTATGAGTTTATAAAAAATATTTAACATCTAAATGAATACCTAGGTAATCGATGATATTAGTTTTTTTTTATTAACAAGTCACTACTATAGTTACATTATAATATTATAATGTATATTAAACATCGTCTGAATATACTGTTTACCTAATAATAATCACTGAAAATCGTTGGTTTCTGGAAAATATATTATTTTTTTTACTCGTATAAAGTATAGTATTATTATTCAGTATTAATAAAATAAAACTAATATCATCGACCATTTATAGTATGCCATTACTGATAGAAATATTGTTTTCAATGTCAATGTAAAAAAAAATTACATTTTATAACTGGAAAAAAAACAGCAACCAGACACTTCATTTATTATGGCTAATAATTGTGAACACAGTATGCCTTCTACTTCAGTTGCCCAATACGAACGACCGTCCAGCCCTGAAAACGTCAGTTGTGTTCATATCAGGTAGGTTATATACGATTATAATTATTAATAGATTCATAAAATAAATTATGCTATGCTCATCTGGTTTTAGAAACATGTTTTTTTTGAAAAATTCATACAAAAATGTCCCTGCACCCTCGGAACAGTTTCTTGAAGGAGTACATTGTTCGATCATCAAATTGTTACAAGAAATTGAAGAAAACCACAAATGTTGTGTTAAAAAAAGATCAACTAAACTAATGCTAAAACGACGAAAACCTAAATCATAAAAATACTGAAACATGACATTTTTCACAAATTCCGTTGGTGATATTTTCGAATAATTAATATTCTCGATGACATTATTTATTGTGTGTTCATTATTTATCACGTATTTACCATTTCATTACCTACCTATGTTGGTATAATGAACAAACTGTAATATAACATATTATTATGACGACCATTAGGTAGTTTCCCAATTCAAATATCAATTTTAAATAGAGGTCGAATTTGAATAAAAATTACAAATTGAATTATTTTATTTTATTTTTAGATAATTTTGTTAATTTTTAGTGCTTATTCATACATTAAAGGAATATTATAGATAAAACTCAATTGGTGTTAATATTGTCTCAAAAAAATTTATCGCAGGTTGTAGGTATTGGAAGGTTGAAATGATTCTTATATCATTGTCGATGAACATCACAATATTGTTTAGTTTGTAAACAATTTATGATTTCGGAAAATTTTTGATGCTTTCATAGATTTTACTTTTAAAAAATTATACAATATATTATAACATAATAAATATTATACCTGCGCTAAATATAAGGTTAACCGTATAAATGATATAAATGATATAATAATATTATTATTTTGGTATATCTAATGACGTACAAACATTTCGTTCCTCTTGCAGATATATTGTACTAACATAATTTTACATAGATTTTACCATTTACTTTACAGATATAATATATATATAAGCATATTCCTTAAAGTATTATTGGTTTTATTGGTGTTACTTTGAGTGTTATAAATAATATTTTGTGGACCACATTTTTTTAGTCGCACTACTCTACACTCTCATTCACAAAAAAACATATTGATATGAATATTAAAATGAAAATAATACAAACATGATAGCATTTAAATTATTCTATAGACATATAAGAATTTTATAGAAGCAACTAAAAAATGATAACATAATATTATTATTATGACCGAAAAATAAATTTAATTTTAATCCAACATGATTAAGCTTATTAAAATATTTGTTTTCATAGAATTAAACAATTTTGCTAGTATTAAATCCAACAACGGTTTTTAAATTATTCGTCACATTGTCTAAGTTTTTAAAAGGGCCCATTATTTTATTATTGATTCATAATCGAACTAAGATATCGATAATATACTAATATATACATATACAATTAAACCGTCAACATACTTTCATATGATATATTATGCTCCAATGCATAAATTTATATCATAATCGTATAAGCCATTCAAGATTTAGGTATTCAGCATCATACATATAACAGGGACTTCTTAAATAAAATTTATTTTCACTGTAATAAAAATTACATAATATTGTTTAAATATATCACGCTATTGCTTAGTAAAGTTATTCTGCCCAAAATCGATACAAAATATAGATAAATAAAAATAAAAAGTTTGTAGCTGAGACCAACATTATTTGGGGGTATAAGACGCAATTCTTATAAGAACTATTGTCTATGGCTATCATAAAAAAGTCCCCAATGGACTCATAAAGAGCACATCAATTATTACATGGCGATTTTTAGTGGCAATATCAAACGTATAAGTATGTATCCATGCTTTAAACAAAATACATTTTATTTTTTTTATTTTTTTAACTGTAATAATTGTTTGGACATATTCATGTGAAAATATAATATTATTTGTGTATTTTATATTAAAAACTTTACATTAATAAAATTATGAAATTTGAAAAATAATAAACATAATAGTAACAATAATACAAGTATTTTAATGTGGTGTGTATAAGCCGTGAAGTTTTGTTTCAGTAATTTAACTTCATTGCTGGCTACAAAACATTATGCTTAGGAAAAAAAATAACATAGTTAACAAACGCATAATATCACTTAATAATCATTTTAAGCTCTCGTGTAAACCTTAAACACTACAAATTATAAAATATTATTTTTTTAATTTATACACATATATCACAGCAGTTGGCCAATAGTATTATTATAAGAGTGTTAAAAATTTTAAGTGAAAATCAAGAATATAACAATATTATATTATAATAATATAAAGCCTTAATCGTAAATTTTGCGATAATAATCGTAATAAATATAATATTATAAATAATATCAATAATAATAACGTAAAAAATACATTGTTTTCGCAATACGGATGTATTAGGCGGCGTTTTAGACATCAGCGAGTCTTGAGCTTTTAGACGACGACCTCGAGTGAATGACCACCTTGTGACCGTTCTTGGTTACAAACCCATCGCTCTCGACCAACACGGCGGTTTCACGACCGTCTGGCGAAGCGGCCCCGTCGCTCCGGTCGTCTTCTGCCGTCTGCTGTTTGGCGGCCATCACGTACTTGCGCCACGCTTTCTGTATGATTATTGCGCAATAAACCTCACGCATGCGCCAAAGAGATGAGCTAATAGGCTCGTATCCAGCCTCTTCGGGTCGCGTTTGCATCTCTCCGATCTCGGCCACCGTCTCGATGATGGGATTACCCTTTCGAGCGAAAAAGTCTTTGGTCAACGCGTCAAGTATGTCTACACAGTAGATTAGGTCGCCCTTGCATATCGGTATGTCCATGGACACGATCTTGTACTTGTTCGGCTTGTGGATCTTCAGTGGCGGTTCCAGAATGTCTAAGAAATCTGACAGCTGATCGTACCGAATGTACCTGGTGCCGTTGGGATCGAAGTGCTGCCAAATCTCATAGTACATGTCGTAATCATCGTCCGTGAGGCCTTCCTGAACATCCTCTGTGGCCTGTGAGTAGTTTTCCAGGATGACCGCAATGTACATGTTTATGACAATGAGGAAGTTGATCACCAGGTACGACAGCAAAAACGCCGTGCCCACAGCACTGCTGCCACAACTGCCCGTGATGCCCATTTCTAAGTTCGGCTTATCACAGTCTTCCTCGTTCGTTATACCGTCCAGTACGGCGTCCCAACCAGACGACGTAGACAACTGAAAGTATTTATTTAACTGATCAACAACCCTATGTACCTACTAGGTAATAATGTTATTATATGATAATTTATAGAATCACACTGTTTCATTCAAACACTTTATGGAATTGCTGTTTCAGCTTACCATGAAAAGAAGTATCATCGATTGCCCAAAAGTACGGAAATTGTAATCATCATCCAATCCTCCGTGGCTGTCTACGTTCATAAAAAACGACATACCAAATATAGCGAATATGAACATGACGAGAAACAATAACAAACATATGTTGAATAATGCTGGAAGTGACATGGCTAAAGCAAACAATAAAGTTCTGATGCCTTTGGCTCCTTTTACTAAACGTAACACTCGGCCTACCTTGGCCACTCTGACCACTCGAAGGAGTGTTGGCGACACAAAATACTTGGAAATCAAATCGCTCAACACCAAACCTGTGTAAATCAAACCAGATGTTATATGATAAGAAAATTGCATTTAATGTAAAGATATTATTTTACTACATACCCGCTAAGGAAAGTATGACAACGACGAAGTCGAATAAGTTCCATGGCTCTTTAAAATAATAATACCGCAATGCGAATATCTTTAGTAGACATTCTGTTGAAAATATAGCGATAAATATTTGGTTAAGACGTTCTAATACGTCGGTAAATAGTTTTGTCTGTTGGTAATGGTCAAGTGTCATAGTCAACATGTTGAATCCGATGAACAACATGATTAGCATATCGAACTTTTTGTCAGTTACGATTTGAAAGACGATAGACTGTGGCTTCCACTAAAATATATTTAAACATTTACACTACAGTAATAGGTATAAAAAACATTTTATATTTATTAAAAAAATAGTGCAAATTACCCTAGGTCTGGGAATTGCTTTGAGCGGTTTTTTGGAACTCATTTTTTTCATTGCATTGTAATACTTCTTTTGGTCCTCCGTCATAAACATCTCAAGAGAAGCACCTGAAATCGCATTACTTCATTCTAGATTAATTATATTTTATTGAAAGTTGTATGTAATATTTATGAAAGTTGACTGATAAAACAACAGTATCTATTCAGTATCATAATAGAGTATACTAATAAACTATTTTAAAATGTATTAATAATAAATAATAATACAATCCTAAGAATGTCTGGGAATTAATATCCAACTAATATTCTCAGTATTTTTTAGGCTGAGAATATCATTCATATTTTTCCATATATTTACTATTGAAATATATACAGTTAGGAGGAGGTGCAATTTCCAGAGGATTGAAGACACGTATCATAAGGTTTATATGTATTTATCGGAATTCCTGAGTCATGTACCTACATTAAATTTACGAGTATATAAATTTATTGATTTTATAATGGTCAACTATTTAGTTACGAACTTTTCCAGTATTTAGTCTAAAAAAAATTAACTAATAATAAATGGTTATGTATGCATAATACATTAAGGTACCTGTTTTTTTCTTCTGTTCATTGAAATTGTCGATGATCACACCAATAAATAAGTTGAGAGTAAAAAATGAACCAAAAATAATAAAAAATACGAAATAAAAATACATATAATTATTAATTTCACGAATTGGCTGTTTCCCGTACGTCTAGAAAAAACAAAGATAAATATTTTTATAGATTAAGTGATTCAAATACTCTCATTATAAATAAATATAGGAATTGTATATTTAAATATTTGTAAATATTTACGTCTCTAGAATCTACAGCGTCCCTCATTATTTCCATCCATCCATTAAAAGTAGCCACTTGGAAGAGGCAAAGATATGCGTTTCCCACATGATCGAAGTTCATTTTAGAATTTTCCCATTTATAGTTCTCAGCTAAACAGACGTTTCGGTCGGGTATAATTTCGTGATTTAACGTTTTCCCGTCTTTTGGATCAACACACTGTAAAAATATATCATAGATATTGGAAATATAATCTATATGGGCAAATTTTTTAATAAAAAGACAATTTTTGTAATACCTACCTTGTAATATTTTCCAGCGAAGAGCTGTACACCCATTATAGCAAAAATCAGCCAAAATATCAGACACACCAGCAACACATTGAAAATACTGGGAATGGCCTGTACCAACGCGTTAACCACTACCTGGTATAACATGATAATGTTAACACGAATATGAATAATAGTATAATACCGTTAAAACAAAACTAATTAGACCATACAAATATTATAATAGTAATGTTATACGTGCAGTATAGTAATAAAATATGGAATATACCAATATACCAAATTATCAAGCATAGGATGTAAACCACGCAGCATAAACTTGCAAGCCAAACAGTGCGAAACTACAATAAATAGCGCTAATAAGGGTATGCGGGTTTTCATCTAAGTAGGATGACAGCCAAGTTCATACAAGTAGGTAAATATAATAGTTTTAAAATATCTGCGCACATTAAATAACTACCTAAACAATTGGAAACGCTCGAATACCATATACATTATATAACTAGCTATATGTATACATATACATAATAATATATTATATGTTACCATACCTAATAATGATAAAATATTATGATCATAATTTCAATAACAGTAAGGTTCATATTAAAAATTTATTTAAAAAATAATAATAATACCAATATATATTCAACCTATTAATAACGTTTAAAAAAATAAAAATAAATTAAATTTCTTCGAGCACTACAGTTTTGMGACAATTTTACGAACTTGATAATAATATATAATTTTATCACATCTAAATGTTCTAGTATAGCATTTGGAGAAAAATACGGAAACTAAAATTTATAATTATATAATAATATAATATGTATACTGTATAGGTATAAACAATAAAAATAATACTGGATTTTAAAACTGTATTTCATTATTATATATTGTCGATCACGTACCCTCATACCCTGCATTCTAGCCATAGCTCGCAGTGGCCGCAAAGCTCTTAAAGTTCGCATAGTTTTGAAAGCTTGGATTCCACTGGCTCCCAACAAGGCAGCAACAAAATTTATCAAAGAAACCTGTGTGAAGTAGAGCCATAGAATACGCATTACAACGGTTGAGCAAAAAAAAATATTTAGCAGTGTTTTCCTTAAACGTAGGTATATACGTTTCTAGGCAAAAATAAAAATTTTCTATGGTATAAAATTCAACATAGGGCATCATCCGACCGGCTTTTGAATGATTTTTAATAACTATTCACTTAGAAAAATATATTATATTCGTGAACAAATCCAATGTAATTTCATATTATTATTATCATCATTAATATTGATTCGTTTAATAACAGCTGTAGGAAGATTCCGACGGCTGATTTTGCAACGAAACAAATGCACACGCATACGCACACAAAATCGCATCCCAGGCAAAAAATCACTGCAAGTCAAATATTAATTTAACATCGTGTAGCAGCTGTTATGGCTTTGTATTTAGTTATTGTGGCCATATAAGAAAAAGTATAACAAATGCATTATAAAAAAAAAATATATATATATATGTATTCAATGTTATATATATATATATATTTTTTTTTACACAATGAAAGAAAAGAACACAGATGGTGAGTATAAATGTCCACATCACAAATTATCCGACAGCTCGTACTTACTCTCATACCCTCCCAACGAGATACCGCTCTCAGGGGTCTTAAAGCCCGAAGAGTCCTCATTGACCTGAACGCTGGTATATCTGCCATCCCAGCCCATATTGCTGCCAAGTTTACTAATGACAACTACAAGATAATATTATAGTGTCTGATGTATACAAAACCCATAGAGCAGAACGGCAATGATAGTAATATTTTTCCTCTCGAAAATAGGTCTCAATATAAATGTTATATATTTTTTTTTTCCAACAAATTTTGAAGAACACCAATTAAATTTTATCGATTATGATACATATTAAAATTAATTAATAAAAACTTTTTTTTACCATGACAATTATGAAGTCCAACCAACACCAGGCGTTTGTAAAATAATTTCGGAAACCCAACGCCAACCACTTGATTAACATCTCCAAAAAGAATATAACAGTGAATATCCGATCCATGTAATACAAAATGTCTTGTAATACCGGTCGATGCTGGAGGTGAACGTCTTCTAGCGCCTGTGTTTATACAAAAAATAAATAATAACCAAATGCATTTAAAAAAATTTAATTAAAACTCAGCAATGTAGTAAACCTGATTTCATGTAAGTATTATGTGACTAATATTCGATTTTATTTAAATCAATATTAAATTTATTTTTATAAAAGAATTAGAAATTTTTATAAAACGCTATTGGGTCAAACAAAAACGGTGAACTATTTTAAAGATACTTTGCATAATTTATATTCACACATGTTAGTAAACCTACTCAGTAATAAAAAAAAAAAAAAAATTATAATATACATTGGTAATTACAATTTACATTTTCACTATTGCTAAGTAAGAGATTATTAGAAATTTCCCAACTGTGTATACTGTATAATATAAATACTAGTATTGAATTTTTTAGGATTAATATTAAATAGATAACGTCAAATTCAAGCCAATTTAATCTACAAAAAATTAAATGAAAGACTAACTGAAAAATAATTAAAATATTGATCCTAGGGTAATAATGAAATAAATAATAACTAATAAACTTATGATAAATAGATACACAATAATTTATATTAATATTACTGCTACTAAGCTGACAATGATTATACTTGTTATTAACATAGAAGTATTTTTTATCAATTTAAAACCAATCCATTACATCTAGGTGAATACATTATATTTGAATTTAATGAATTCACGTATATTTATATTTTTCTAAGACTTTAATGAATCTTGATTTTTTATAACCTAGGAAATCGTTAATCCGTGTTGAAATATTGATAGTATTAGTATAAATTAATTTATTCCGCCTAGTAAATAACGTAACATGGTAGATTGATTTGTATACCTATTGCCTACACACATTAAACCACTTAAATAAGACATTGGAAAAACTGTGTCATTTATTTCTAATATTGGTACTTTGTGAGAAAAAGAAGGCGTGTGCAAAGTGTTAATATTATTTAATAACATGAATGTTTGTATACGTACCAGTGCCAGACTGCTAAGTAAAATCATAGTAATCACAGCTGTTTCAAAGTATTTATTTTCGATAAGTTGAAATGTTTTCAGTCTGAGCTGTCCCCACCCTAACCAAAATGGTGTTTCATCATCACCAGCCAGGAATGGAAATTTTTTATAACAGTTCGGCGGAAAACAGTCTTCGGGATATTCTTCTTCCTCGAATACGTCTTCAACCATTTCGACAGGACCTTGTTCTTTGTATTCGTCTTCATTAATTTCTTCTGCAGCAATACCGTCATTACCTCCCAACACTAAACCAATATTGACATTATTTCTAATAAAATATTTTAAACGACCAAACATTACACACCGTTCTGATTGGTATCGATGTCTTCTTTACTTGGATCTTTTTTTTCTTCAGCATTTTGTAAGCTTCTTTTACTTCCTCTATGACTTTCGCTATCGTAAGGATCATGCTCATGGCTTCCATAAGATTTTGTACTATTAACACGATAAACACAACTTTTTACTAATATTTCTTAAATTAATATACATTATTATGTAGAACTACATAAATATGAATATAAATTTAATGAATTAATATTAAATATAAACCAACTAAAGGTTAGATAACACAAATACAACAGAATATAATATGAAAAATTAATATAAATTTAATGAATTAAAATTATCTGCAACCTATGAAGCGCAATAGATCTGAACAATATTCAGAAAAAAGTGCGTTGTAAAAATTAAACTTGTTAAATTTATATTTTTCTTTTTCTATTCTGTAAAATATATTGCATATATTAATAAAAATTTAAACATTACCTTCTAGTATCATATTCATATTTATCCTTTAGGTAATAGTTTTCGTCGGTACTGCTTTGGTGCATTCCAAACGAATTATACGAGCTACTCGTCGGTGGCTTCTTTTTCTTATTTTTTTCCCCACGTATAAGTAACTCCATTCCATCGCCAATAGTCACATCTAGTTGTTCTTTCTTATTCCGATAAATGATTCCGGCGTCCAAGAGTTCCTCTGAACACAAATATGGGTACTTTTAATTTCACAACATATAAGTACTAAACGTTTAGTATAGGAATGTACTTACCACTACTGTATACACTCATCCTCCAACTATATTATGTTAATCACTCTAGTTAACTATATTAAAAACTAAAAAGATTACATTACTATAATGGTTGGTAAACAAATGAAAATATCATATGTTAGAAATAATGTAAATAACACGAGAGTTAACCTACATTGTACTCCGAACTGGAGTCTATGTTATTGATTTTGTTGTTACTGAAAGAGGTCGCGGGAGCGCTCCTGGGACATATCCATTTTCCTTTAAATGCAATAATATTAAAAATATTATTATTTGTGTATTTTGTTTTATTTTATGCAATTTCGATGCTTAAAAATATACAAGTGAACATTTTTTTTTTTAAATTTACAAATTAACTGTTTAATAAAATAATTATTTTATATTTTATCCAAATACAGTGATGTCCACATTCCATTTTGAAAAATTGGTTTTACCGTTCCTACATTCAAAATATAACCGTTTTACTAAAACTTAATACTAATTTTTAAAATAATAATTAAACCATTATTTTTTATCAAAAACTAGTTAATCTGATTGTCAATACATAATCTATTTTTATAATTTATTAAAAAAAAAACAGTAAAGACGTGTTTTTTTCAGTAAGCATTTAAATTATAAATATCTATGTAGGTATATTAAATTATTATTAAACATAACAATATTGTCTAATAATAGACAACTTATACAATTTTAATTCTTACTCAATTCACTTGTTTCTAAATTTGTTATTATTAATAACAAATTAATTTAGATGGATAATAATTACTTATTTTACCGTGTTGAGATTTTAATCATAATAAAAATTAGATTATATAAAATTAAATAACCTTCGAACTTCAGACGGAATTTATTTAAGAATAGTTCATGGTTTTTTCAAAGTAATTTGATTAAAGATGAATGATAGCAAAATAAGAAAAACTGATTAGTGATGTGTATGTAAAGGTTTAAAGATTAGAGATTGACATTATAATGGAGGAAAAAGCGGCAAAAGATAAAATATTAATGTAGATAAAATAGTTTGTTAAGTATGGAAGCGTGTTTAGAATTTTATGTTATTTAAATATTAAAAAAATGTATTTTACATTTTGATACTAAATAGCTAAGGTATGACTTGAATTTAAAAAGTTTCAATTATAGAGTAAACAAGTCATATAATCCTTAACTCGAACCTCTGAAAAAATCTAGACATAGAAATTATAAAACCACATAAAATAAAATACGTCTAAATTATGAGATATTTTAAATTCAAAGTTTGTAGTACAGACGTATTTTTTTTATTTCGATTATTTGATCTTCAGTCAAAGGGTACATGAATGGTAGACGCATATAAAATCTAAATATAAACATCATTGGCTAATTTTACGGTATATTTTAGGTTCCAAAAATCATATTAAAAAATAAGAGTGTGTGAGTTACTCTGGAGAAGTAAAACTTCTTTCATAAGTATTGGGTCCGTTAAATCATAAGTGAGATAGGGAAGGAGTGAAAAAAATCAGTACGAAACAAACACATAAAATTAATGTAATAAACAGTGTGTTACCTACACACTGAAAATATTATTTTAAAAAAACAAAGAACAGTACGTTTATTAACTGCAATAGATTTTACAATGATATGTATATATAAATAAATATATTATAATATAATTATATATATATATATATATATATTATAATATATATATAAACATATATATGCAATGTAATCAATTTGATAACAGAATTTGCACAAAAAAAACAATTTTCAATAACACTACCAATACCTACACTTTTGAAACCTCACTTTTTTCACAAAGAGGAGAGTAGAATTGAAAAAAYATAGAAAACACACTAAGCAAATGACGCGCTATCACACTAGGACATATAAGTATATAACATTTAACCATTCAAGCGATTTCTGACGCAGTCATACACACGCATTCATACACCGCGCACCGTTTCATTTTTTCATGGCGTTTCATTTTTCGTGACGATTTTTTTCCTCAATCCATACCTCAAGAAAGAAGTTTTATTACAAAAATATTGAATATAGTTATTTTTACAGACATTCTTAATTCAAATTAGGAAAAAATTTGATGGTTAAAAGGTGAATTGTRTTAGTTATTTAAAAATATTATTTATGGGTATACTTATGAAAACTTTTAAAGTACCTATATATATTATATATATATATATATATATGTGTATAGTTATATTTTATACACACAACGACGTTTTCAAATTCAATTTTTTCGAAAATGATTAATTCAACCAACTGTACCTATTACTATGGTAACTAAGGCAATAATTATATACGTTTCATTCTTTCGTGGCGTTTCATTTTTCGTGACAATTTTTTTTCCATCCATACCTCGAGAAAGAAGTTTTACTTCAAAAAATAATAATAAAATAATTGTAAACAAAATAATGCAACGTAAAAAGTGATTTTAAATATTTAATACTTTTCGTTGAAATATTTCCGTATTTCATGCATTAATAAATTAAAAATTTAAAACGTCAAAAGTATCGAACATCTTACATTTGGCTGTATAGTATGTACTTAGCTCTGTAGACCGTGGCTCGAATATAAAAGAAAATATTTTGAATAATAACGAATAATAGTTGTTCAGGTGACTATTTCGATAAGTCGCTATTCGTAAAAAGGCTGATATTACTGACATTAGATGCAATATGTAGTATTATTTTTTACTTATTAAATTTAATTTTCAACCGAGCTTCGCTCAAAGCAGTTTTTTTCCCCCCAAATCGAATTTTTACCAATGATGGACAATATTATATTATTCTGCCATCCGTAAAATCCATAACCGAGTAAAAATCGGATAAGAACCGACACCATAATCAAGCACATAAAATTAAATTGACAAAATCGAATTCATAATGAGCACGTCCGCGATGTAAGAAAAAAAAACACTGAAAAACAAAACATTGAAGAACAAAACAAATGACAGAACATCCTCCTCTTTTAACTAATAAAATACTATAAAAATAATCATGATGATGATGATGATGATTGCGACGACGACAGTTGAAAAAGCTGTGTAAATGTCAACGTTGAGAGGACGCCTGAACTCTACGATAAACGTCTGCAGGCTGTTCGGGCTGGGACTGAAGCCCGACGGTGCCGTGGCCGCCGTCATGGACGCGCTAATTGTGCTGGCCAACCTGTTGTACAGCGCATACGGGTACAACCACGTGACAACCATCATGCATCAGAGGATGTCGTACGTGTGGGACATCACGACAGTGATGAGCGTGGCCAAGGTGTACACGTACCTGCTGACTCCACCGGTGATGTTGATCATGTGGCAGTTCAACAGACGATCGCTGTCGGATGCCATACACGAGCTGAACGACGCCATGACAGAAACAGCCGCGGCCATGTCCCTGGCGCCGTTTGCTTGGTACTCGGCCGCGTGGCTGTGCATRTCAGTGTTCATCGAGTTCATCGGGTACACCGTGTTCCATTTGGATACCAATTTCGCGTATTTCACGATAACCGAGTACGTCATGATCATCGTGTACAACGTGTGGTTCAAGGTGCCGCTGTTGACGTACGTGTTCCTGATGGACACGATCCGGATGTCCATTCAGGACATCAACGGCCGGCTGATCACGGTGGCCGAATGGCGGACGTACCGTGGCCGGTGGGACGACCTCAGGAAGATGGCCGTCCGACTAGCCCGTCACCAGTTCGGCGTCACCATCGTCGCATTTATGGTGAGCACGATCGCAGAGATCGTGTTCTACGCGTTCGTTGTGTTCTTGTCCAGCTACAATCAAGATGACATGCTGAAAACATCCATTCACTTCGTGAAAGCGTTTACCAGCACCGCTTGGATGTTTGAGGTCATCCGCATGTCGAAAAACTGCAAACTAGAGGTTATTATAGAACTTTCGAGACATTTATAATATCGTTTATGTGTTGATATAATTATTGGCCGAAAAAAATATTACTTTGTTGATAATATTTATTTAACAGTCACTGTATAGATTTGGTAATGAAGTAGTCACCGTAATGCAATCGACGAGTTTTGAAAAAGCGGGAAAGTGTATATTGCTCTGCTGTACAGTAGGTTACAGTGCAGGGTTACTTTAATGGATGGAATTAAATTTGAATTCAATGATATTATATCATATTGTATACAAAAATCGATTCTGAGCGGAAACGGTTTATTTGTCTAGGATATATATTATAGATTATAATTACTTATTATCAATACTTATTAAAATATTTGACTTTCGGGTGGACATTTTTTTTTTTTTTTTTGAAAAAGATACACTAACTTATAAGGAATCTTGAATTAAATTTTCAAATCTTACATTTAAAAAGAAAAATTGTTTGTAATGACTATGTATTTCTATTATTTTTCAGCTGCTATTGTAACAATATTTTAGGATCCTTGTATTAAATTTTCAAGCTTTTCTACCCAACAAATACATTTTTATCGATTTAATTTTTAAAAAAAAACAAATAATTATCGAAAATTGAATATTCCTGTAAATAGTTCAACTTAGTCAAAATTTTTTTTTAAATTGCATGATAAATAGAATATACTTATATTAACGTTCAGTGAAAATTTCATGTATCTACGGTCAATTGTTTTAAAGCTACATCAAAACCAAAATCGATTTTGTCGAAAACTGATTTTGCGTAAAAATTCCCGTTTTATCCTTAATGTTTAGTTTGTTCATCCCGATTATTTAGAAAAATATTTGGAATTACTTTCGACCCTCCCAAAATACCAACTAGATTTATTTTCTGATCTAACAAGGTACTGAAGTCGAAAATCGAAATATTATTACTGCCACAGTCATATATAATAATAAAAAGTACTGATTTTAATTATAAATTTCTTTAAGTAATAATTTAAGTAGTCAGTAGATGTTGCAAAAAAAGTCCTTCAAAATTGACAAGCTATTATTTTATAACTATAGGTTTGGTGATTTTTATGTTTAAAGATTCTTTATTCATTATATATTTTTTTCAGGGATGTCGATTTGTTACTATGTATAGTTTAGT